TAAAGCAAAAGGAACACATTGGACAGGGAGCGTTGGCACCAACTGTTGTCTGTAGTGCAATGGAATGGCCGGAGACAGCCTCGCCAAGAGGACGCTCGAGTCTGGAGCTGAAGATGGTGGAGGAAATGAGCAGGGCACTGACCAGGGGAGAGGATTCCAGGTGGAGGGACCGTCCAGTGCCAGCTGGAGGCAGGAGGATGCGCGGACATTCCAGGAACAGACCGGAGGGCAGAGCAGCCAGAGCGAATGACACAAGGGAGACGGGCCTGTGATGAGGATGGGGTAGGGGGTCAGACCATGTCAGGCGGTGGGCGCCACAGGGACTTCAGCTTTCACTCTGTCAGGCATAAGCCCTGGAGAGCTCTGACAAAGTCAGTGTGTGACTTGCTTTTTTTTCTTTTAAAGATGACCAGTGAGGGGATCTTAACCCTTGACTCGGTGTTGTCAGCACCACACTCTCCCAATAGATCCCTATATGGGATCTGAACCCGTGGCCTTGGTGTTGTCGGCACCACGCTCTCCCGAGTGAGCCACAGGCCATCCCTATATGGGATCCGAACCCGTGGCCTTGGTGTTGTCAGCACCACACTCTCCCGAGTGAGCCACGGGCCGGCCCCGTGTCTTACATTTTTAAAGGATCACTCCCACTGCTGCAGGGAGGACAGATTGTGGGGCAGATACGAAGCAGAGAAACCCATTAGAAAGATGCTGCAACAGTCCAGGGCACTGCGATGACTCTACCTGGACATCAGGGAGGAGCAGGGCACAGACTTATATGCTCATGACAAACAAGGGAAAAATGGGTCCCTATATGGGAGACAATTGTTTTCAGTCACTGGACAGCAGGCTGTGCCAGCTGTGACCCCTGGGAGAGGGAAGCAAATGCTCGCGGCAGCCCTGAGTCTGGGGAAACGTCACCACCGTGGCAGAGAGTGACGAACCACACAGGGCAAGGCAGTCGTGCAGAGTGGATGAGACAGAGATTGGACTTCGGGGCAGCTGAGACAGCTAGAATGAGTGAGCAAGGAAGCAGACAGGACAGTGCTGCGCAGAGGAAGAGCTCCCGAAATCTGCAGAGGCTCCCTTGAGGATCCAGCTCAATACCAGTCTACAGCGCAGAGGCTGAAAGTCCGCACGTCCAGAGAGAAACAACTGTCAGGTAAAGATCAGTTCTGAGGGACTGTAAGAAAAACACACCCAGAAAACACAGATGCGAGGACTAGCTGGGGCACCACAACAATTCAATGGGGAAAGAACAGTCTTTTCAACAAATGGCTCTGGGACAAGTGGATGTCCACGTGCAAAGGAATGAAGGTGGGTCTCACACCACCTGCAAAAATTTACTCACAATGGGTCAAAGTCCTAAATGTAAGAGCTAAAATTCTTAAACTCTTAGAAAATTCGTAAAGTTTCGTGACTTTGGCTTTGACAGTAAATTGTTATATATTACACCCAAAGAACAGGCAACCAAAGGAAAAATAGACAAATTGGAATTCATCAAAATTAAAAACTATCACAATGGACACTATCAAGGAAATGAAAAGACGAGATACAGAACGTGAGAAAGTACTTGCAAATCACATATCTGAGAAGGGTCTGGTATCAACAATAAGTAAGATGCGATAACTCAACAATAAAAAAGCAACTAACCCAATTAAAAGTGGGCAATGGATCTGAATAGACATTTCTCTAGAGAATATACACAAATGTCCAATAAGCACATGAAAAGATGCTCAGTGTCGTTAGTCATCAGGGAAATGCAAATCAAAACCGAAAGGACATACCGCCTCACAGCCACCCGGATGCTAAAATCAATAGTCAGGTGACACAGTGCGGGCAAGGACTTGGAGAAACGAGATCCCTCGTGCACTGCGGTGGGAACTTGAGATGGTGCAGCTGCTCAGAAAAAACTAGTCTGGCCGTTTATCCACCAGTTAAACACACAATCACCACGTGGCCCCGCGACTCCACTCCCAGGTGCATCCCCACGAGAAATGAAAACAGATGTTCACACAAAGACTTGTACGGGAATGTTCACAGCAAAATTAAAACACCCAAAACAACTTAAATGCGCAAATGCCAGAATGGATAAAGTGTGACCTGTCCACACAGTGGCCTGTCATTCAGTCATAAGAAGCAGGGAGGTTCTGCCACACGCTGCAGCGTGGACGAACCTTGAGACTTTGTGCTGGAGGAAGGAAGCCAGACGCAACAGAGCACACACGGCACGACCCCATCTGTATGCAAGGTCCAGGACAGGCGAGTTCGTGGAGACAGAAAGCAGATTCCGGTTGCCAGAGGCCGGGCGTGGGGGGATGGGGGACGGTTGCTCCCGGGCATGAGGAACCTTTTTAAGATGATGAAAATATTCTGGAATGAGATGGTGTTGATGGTTTCACAGCCTTGTGAATGTGACAAAGACCAGTGATGGTACACTTTTGACCTCAGACACATCCTAAGAACCCAGATCCATTCTTGAGATGAGAAGGTGGAGCCCAGGTGCACAGAGTTATGTAAAACGTGTCCTGACCCAGCACTGAGCCTCCTGGTGGCCGGTCCGTCCCTTCTTGAGCAGCGGGTTAGTCCACACCTCTCCACCGCCCTCGTCGGACACTGCAAGCAACCCCGAGGGCCCCACCAGGCACCTGCTCTGTCCCTTGGAGCTGCAAGTAACAGGAAGACTCTGCCCTTCACCTCTCTGTGTGTCACTGTGTGGCACCATCAAAAGAACCTTTAAATTTTATACAATGCCAGGACCCCAGGAAAGTCATCTGAACAAGTTGACATCTGCTAGTGGCTGGCCCCAAGCTGGCCACCCCCTTTCCCAAACCTGCCCGGCACAGACGAGGCCCTGGGGAGAGCAGTTCAGGTGTGGCCCGCCTGAGGACAGGCTCTGGACTCCTTGGCCAGCTGAAGCCACAGCCACAGCCTGCCCCAAGCTGCTGTCCCCCTGACCCACCATGTCAGTGGCTCACACGGGATCAGTGCCAAGGGTCCAAGTGACCCTGTCCAATGCCCACCTGAGCGGAAGTCCAATCTGTCCCAGTCGTGGCAGGTCTCACTATGCAGCATCCTGAACCAGGGCCTTCCCACACTACACCCACCACCCAGAACGTGAACTTTGTCGGGGGCACCCACGGGACCCTAGGGCAGAGCTGCCATCACCCACCCCTCCACCCAGCCCCTCGGCCTGTGGCACCCACCCAGGACAAACCTGAGTCTTCCCATCCTTCCCACCCCTGTCTCTACCCTCCCCTTCTTCCTGGAACACTCCCAAGAAAGCGTCCAGGTCAGCCTGTCCCAGGGACCCCACAGACAGACAGAATCACTGAGCACTGCTGAAGCTCTTTATTTGAGGGCAGGGGGAGCCAGGGCAGCGCGGGGAGGGCTGAGGGGGACTGGCCAGTCCACAGGAGGGGGCTCCTTCCATGTCTCCCAGGACAGAAGTTCCAGGTGGCACATCCCTGGGGCTGCTGAGGAGCCACGTGTCCCTGTCCTAGGAAGGAGGTGAGGGTCAATGTGGCTAGGACAGTGGGGTGGGGTGGCTGCAGTGAGGGGGACACATGCTGGGCTACTGGGAGCTGCAGTGGGTGGGGATCATGCCAGGCTATGGGCTGCTGCAGTGTGGGGGAGTCAAGCCTGGCTCATGGGGGTTACAGCGTGGGGGGCACATGACAGGCTGTTGGGGGCTGCAGTGTGGGGCGCACATGCCAGCCTCTGGGGGACTATGGGGGACAGCACATGCCATGCCCTCAGGGCCTCCAGTCACTGGGTCGGAGCAGACAGAGGAGAGTCCGTCCCTAGGCTGCCTGCAAAGTTCCACACCCACGTGTGAAGAGGTGATGGGGTGTCTTCAGGCCAACAGTTGGGCAAGAGAAGGGCAGCAATGCCATCTGGATTCTGGGTCTGCCCACACCTGGTGATTTTGGGCAGTCTCTGAACCTCCAGTTTCCAAATGACATGCAGCCAGGGAGGGACCCAGGAAATGTGAAGTATCATGGGCAGGACTGCCACATTTCTGTATCTTTTAAGCAACTCGTTGGGTAAATGGAGTCACATGACTACTGAGGTTGGGGAGGTGCTGAGGAGGAGCTTTCTGCTGCTGGCAAGCACACTGGGGGGCTTGGGGAGACAGATGTGGTCTCCCACCAGCACCCAACAAAAGGATCGATCACTACAGTGGGGCCTCCCACCTGCCCGGGAATTACGTCCCAGACAGAAATCTGAAGGTCACATCTGTGTGCTGGGACAGCTCCAGGGTCAGAGGCTGCACCTGCCTGGCCCAGGTGGGAAGAGGGGTGAGTGGTATAGACCACATGGCCTCTCCCAGTCCCACTGAGCTCCAGGACTCGGGCTTTCTCCACCGTCTTCTCAAACTGTTCACTTACCTAACGCCTTCCTGGAGAGCAGGTTTCTGTAG